ATTTTAGCAAATCCTTTCAATTTACATGCAATATAGCCAGGGTTTGTTTCTGTTTCTGCAGGGGAACATTGGAAACAACCAGCAGCCTCCCCAAAGCCACTCTGAGGTGCGCAGTTGGGGAATCCACCCCCAATCCGTCGCCTCCCAACGCGGGAGGTTTCTGTGAATCCACCTCAGAAAATACAAACATGTAAAATCACTTGCCCCCACTTTAGACCGCGAGATTAGCGATTGAGGAAAAAAAAAAAGCAACGCGCATGCGTGCGTGGCCGGAGACCCTAGAGATAAAAATGTAAAGCCGTTTCCCGAGAACGAGAGTGGTTGAAGGCCTTTGAAAGTTCACGTCCAATGTTTTGAAGGACACCACATCGCCATACCCTTGCCTAATTTACCTAGCTCTTTGGGTTCATGCACAATATAATTGAAATATTCACTGCTCGTGAATTGGTTTCCAGCACGTTGCAAAAGAGTTGGACTATGCAGAGAATTGGAGTAGACAGAAGTCTAGTACACTTGCGGACTTCAACTCCCAGAATTCTCCAGCCAGCACGGTTGGCGTGGGAATTCTGGGAGTTGAAGTCCACAAATCCCGGGATTAGATGATCCCTTGCCGTCCATGCCCTGAACTACAAATTATCTAATCCAGATTTTAGGACGCCACTTCCGTGCTTCCAAGCGAGGTGCTGCTAGGCAACTGAGGCGCTCGGCCGGTAGGAGGGAAAAGAAGGGACGCTTTGAGGCGGCCGTTTGCGAGGCTTTGAGCAGGGATGAAGTTTACAGATTGTTGCCTCAGCTCAGAGGGAGCTGAGGTTATTTTAGCAACATCCAGTGATGAAATGTACCCGGCGGAAAACATCATTGACGGGTGAGCCTTGAGCCGTCGGGGTCGTGTTGAGTGTTGAAGGGATTCACTCGGGACCTCGGGAGACTCTCCTTTTCCATCCTGACGACTTTTAAGATGAGTGGACTTCGACTCCCCAAATTGGGGAGTTGAGTGGAAAGTGGAGAAACACTTTTTTTTTTTAAACGTTGCGCATGTTAAAGTCATCTTGCCAAGGTAGAAAAAAAACACTGCCTGTGGAAAGGTGGAAGATGGAGAAACGCTATTTGTGGGAAAGTGGAAGGTGGAAAAAACACTGCCTGTGGAAAAACAAGGTGGAAAAACACTGGCTTCAGAAAAGGCCAAGACTCAAGAATTGGGACAAGAATTCAAGATTTGAAAAATCTGGTTGTTACATTATATGTACAGTATTAACCGTTTATTTATTTGTTAAATTTATTTGCTGTCTATTCCTTGGGGCTACCTGAAGCAGCTTGCAATAATATAGCTTACCTTTTCCCCAGAAAGCTCAAAGGAAAGTATATTTTTCTGTTTCTCGGGTTATCCCCACAGCAATATTTTGAAATAGGCTAGGCTAAGAAATAAGAGTAGGTTCAGCCATATGATTGAATATTGTGCTAAACTGTGGATTGCTTAACTATGTTGAAACCATAGTTTCATACATAGCCTATGATGAATAATTGTATTTTATTCTCTCCTGATAGGCGATCTGAAACTTTTTGGACCACAACAGGGATGTTTCCTCAGGAATTTATTATTTCCTTTCATAAATGTGTGACCATTAGCAAACTGACAATTCAGTGTTACTTAGGTAAGTTATAATACGTATATGTTTTCAACTGATGTATCTTTTCTGCAATTTTATATACTTATTTTAATGTACTGTTCCATAATATAGTTGTATACTTCATATAATGAAAAATAGTCATGCATTTATACTTGGGAATACTGTATAGACATTTTCACTGTAGAAGAATTGGGCCATGGCTCATAATAATTTTTACATATTATATTTATAAGAAAGTATTGGTTATTATTAATATGAGTTGCACAGGCAATTCTCTTTATAATTATAATTCTCTTTATAATTATAATTCTTTGTGGATGTGTTTGCTTGTGTTTTTTCCTGAATAATTTATTTTTTGATACATCTGTAACTAAACACATCTTTGAATGTAAAATGAGATATTAGAAGTTTCCCATATTTGTATCCTAGGATGGATACCTTTAATTTCTGATTACCGTAATATGAAACCATCCTGTAATAGGGTTTTTACAATAAGATTTGTGCTTGGTGACACAAACATGCTAATATCATTAAATCAAGTTACAGGTAGTCTTTGACTTATAATCACAATTGAACCCCAAATTTCTGTTGCTAAATGAGAAATTTGTAAAGTGAGTTTTACCCAATTTTATGACCTTTGTATGATTCTGTAAGTCTGTGCAGCTATGTGGGAGATAAGAAATGTGTGTGATTTTCTTTTGATTGTGTGATCCCTAGAACCCATTTGATTGCATGTTTCCGAAAATTGTGGCCTAGTTTCTCATTGTTTTGGGAGAAAAAATGCCTAAAATTGCTCTATGCCCTAAAATAAGGTGAACACAATTAAAGAAAGGATAAGCCATTTCCAAATCCAAATTATCATGGTCCCAATATTTTATAGTATTGTCCTCTTTATATATCTCAATCCTCCATCCGCAAAAGGTGACCATAACAAATTATTTTTGTACATGGAGTATATTGATCACACATTTCTCACACTCCTCACATTTGACGTAGCCTAGCTTTCTATTGTATTTTAATGGTTCTGTATCTGATAATTTTCTTTGATGAATTGTAAAAATGCAATAAGTCTTACTAGTGCCCTTGTGTTAAAGCTAAGAATTATTTTATTAATAATTTTGAAATATTAAGGTGGAACTAGTATTCTTACAATTAATAAGATTTTAAAAAATATTTTCTTTAGTGAAGAGGTTACGCATTGAAAAAAGTATATCTAAAGATCCGGTTGATTTTGAAAAATGCACTGAAAAAGGTAATTATACTTAATATTGTTATGATTCAGTGAATGCTCATAATCTACTGAATTTTATCAAGACTGAGGGCTATGGTTATTATAAATAAATTCTGTTGATCTCATTTTTTGTATAACATTAGACTAATAATATACAATTAAAAGTTCAAAGGAGGTATTGTAATTTTTTTTAATTCCAGTATTTGTAATCTGCAGAAACAAAGGCTATTTCAATATATTTTACAAGTTGAGTTGTTGCACCTAGCAAACAGCAGTTGATTCTTTGTAATGCATTATCCAATTATTAATTTCAGGTATGCTCTGAATTGAACCTGACCTTTTCTGTGACATGTGATTGTAGGTAAAAATCAGTCCTCGAATTCTTCTCCACCTTGTTGGGGAAAAATAGTCCGCAACAGTGGGTGATACTTTAAACTCTATTTCTCTTTTTCATGATATATATCATTATGAAATAGATAGATAGATAGATAGATAGATAGATAGATAGATAGATAGATA